TTCTCCAGAACATTCCCTCATAGTTATAGTTTATGAAAACTAATCAGGTAAAGGGGCTTTGCTGCAGTAGCTGCAATTAGTTTCACCAAAATATCAAGCAAATTACATTTGTGTACATTCAGTTGTCATTTTCTTTACCTTGAAAGCCACCATATGAAGCTGTTATCTAAGAACAATGGTTAGTCCCTTGAAATTATCTTAGTGAATGCCCCTCCCCACCGCAAAATATAACTTAGTTATAACCTACTCCTGTTCACAGACTAGAGTTTTTATTCTTTTTTAGGTCCATATAAGATTCCTTCAAAGTCTAAATAGATAAGTATCCTATCTTCTATTTAGATATCTGCTTTTTAAGAAATTTGAAAGCAAATAACCACTATCAAAAAGCAAATGACCTAGGTTATCCTCTCAAGGATGTTATAGTTAATTGTGCAATTATACATCTGTCATTAAGACTCCCTGCATCATATAATAAATGGGTTGGACAAGAAATGTTTGAGTCCTTCCCAGCTATAAAGTTTTTGTTCATAAGTTAAATTGTTGCTATTTTCCAATCCAGGTTATATGTTTTTGTTCATAAGTTAAATTGTTGCTATTTTCCAATCTAGGTTATATCAAATAATAAAAGTACACAGAATTTCCACATTAGTAGCAGTAATATTTTTAATTTCCACATTAAAAACCTATGGCATGGAGCTGGGGTTGTGGCCCCACCGTCGAGTGTTTGCCTAGCATGCGCAAAGCTCAGGATTCGATCCTCGGCACCACACAAAAATAAATAAATAAAACAAAGGTATTGTGTCCAACTACCACTAAAAAAATAAATATTAAAAAAAAAAAACTATGGCATGATAGGCAGCCATCAGATTAAATTTGCATTTCCTTAGGTTCCATCTGCAGAGCAAAATGTACTATTTATATTTCAGGCAGCAGAGTGATCAAGAGCAACAGGTTTTCTTGGCACTTCCTGTACATATCCCATGTCAAGGAGTATGAGGCTATCCTCAGTAAAATACTGCGAATGAGAGCTGTCAATCCTTAGCAACTAAAAGTATGTATCATTAAAACAAACACAATCTCTCATCCAAGAGTTACAGTTCATAAAGTGTGCCTTTTGACTCTTTTGGTTCCATATGTATACTTCCACAATATTTTTCCAGCAGATTACAGAAATTGCGCAGATCACTAAAAGCCTCAGATAATCCCCAAACCTTCTGTTAGCCAATTATTCAATCTCTTCCACTGCTCAGCTTTTGCCAAAGATGCTAACAAGCAGCAGAGTCAACTGGTTTGAGCTTCATACACTTTTCCAGACACACTTGCCATTTTTTTTTTTAGAGAGAGAGAGAATTTTTTATTATTTATTTTTTAGTTTTCGGCGGACACAACATCTTTTTTGCATGTGGTGCCGAGGATCGAACCCAGGCCGCACACATGCCAGGCGAACGCGCTACCGCTTGAGCCACATCTCCAGCCCGACACTCTTGCTTTTTAACAGCTCACACAAATGAGAGATTTATTTCTCTTGATTCTAAGTCTTTCAAAGGAAACTGACCAACATTTATGAAATGGCCAATCTCTCTACTCAAAGTTAGCACATTCCTTTAAATTGTAGCCTTTGTCCCTAATGCAAACTTATCTGTTTCTTAACAGTTTGCATTGTTTTGTTTTAGATTTTTGAGACAGGGTCTTGGTAAGTTGTTCAGACTGGCCTGGAACGCCATCCTCCTTCCTCAGCCTCAGGAGTTGCAGGGATTACAACAGTGTACCACCACACCTGATTAATGATTTGTATAATTTCTGATTTTCCCTGTCTTACAACTCTATGCTATATTTAGCTGAATATGGTTTTGATTATTATTTTTCTGTGTTCTTTATTTCATTACATTTTAATTCTCCAAGAACTCAATTGATTAATCATGAGAATGAATGAAAGCAAAAATGATTAAGGGAAGCCAAGAGAAACTGAAAAGCCTGAACATTTTATGAAGAAATTAATATGAACTGACATGATATCTTCAATGAAATTCAGAAACCCTAAGAACTAAAAGAGTCCAAATTCCTTATCTTATAGATAAGAAAACCAAAACCCAGAAAGAAGCTAAATGACTTGCGTAGAATGATACATGTAACTAGACACAGTTACGGTCTCATACATAAAATTACACATTGTCACCAGGAATGGTTCTATTCACAGTTGAATATGGCCACATGAAGACTGTTCCCAAAACCTCAGGAGGAAGTCACAGTGGTAAAATCCCATATCTAAGATCATTCCTTTAGTTCAAGATATTTATCTCAGAAATCCTGAGAAAAAAGCAATTGTTATCAGGGACTTGCAGAGAGTAAGAAAAGCCAACATCCCGGAGTATTAGATTCTAAGTGGGAAGATGGAAAAAAGTTACTCACAATTAAAATGATTCTTAAAATTGCCTCTACAGGGCTGGGGCTGGGGCTCAGTGGTAGAGCGCATGCCTAGTAGGCCCTGGGTTTGATCCTCAGCACCACATAAAAATAAAAACAACATAAAACTATTGTAAAAAAAAAAAAAATCACCTCTACATCTAAGCTACCTAGAGTCCAATATATAGGGCTTTAATTCACTGGGAACACATCTGTGTCTTAATGAGTCCCACATAGCCAGGTTTTCTTTCAGCAATGGAACAGCCCAGTTTATTTTGCTTATCATTAGATAAAGTAGCTGGCTAGACTATTCCAAATCACAAATTGGTACTCTGCAAGTGTAAGATGCTCCCCCTTGAAAAGGCATTCAATAAATATAACAGGAAAACAGTCTTATCTCCCATACTATTCCCACCAAGGGCCTACTCTCAATGCACAGGACAGCTGGCCTCAAGCACTACGGAACTGGCATTTCTCTCCTCTCCCATCTTGATTTTGCCTAGAAATAAGGGTCAGTTTCTGCTATTTAATATGTTTATGATCCAAATCCACTGAAATAACCTATTCCCATGTTTGCCTATATAGGCAATGATGGAGGTGAGACACCAGATGTGTAAGTACTTGAGGAGGAAAGGTAAAGTCTGGCCACAGGGCAGGACAGATACAGTGAAGAGTCCTAAAGCTGCCCAAGGAATCTTGAATGTGCATAAGGGGGAAGGTTGAAGGGAATTAGGTGGAGGTCATTTTTTGTGGGATAAAATTAGTTTCAAAAACCATTTTCACCAGATTCCTAATTCATCCTTATCTAGATTTGATAGATTACAACACATCCCATTTAACTGATTTTTAATCAATGTAAAGAGCATCCACTCTCAAGTATACAGGTAAACATATATCCCCCAAATTTCATACATTAGAAGAAATTAATCAAGAAAAAAAATGTGCATATATATATATATATATATATATATATATATATATACTTTTTTTTTTTTTTTGCAAATAAGGACTTGATCATAGGCAAATAACCTTAGAGCAGAGATAACTAAACCAATACTAGGAAGTGCATTCTGCCAATCAGTGCTTCAAGCAGCAAGAAAACCAGATCTCCACCCCTCAAAGACCTGCCACAAAGAGCCATGTGGAAAAACTGCCCAGGGAAATGGTGATTGAACAAGAGTACTACCTTAGAATGAATGGTTTTAGGAAGTGTGGGACTCATTAAGAAAAGAATGGTTACCCTCATTAGAAAGTTTACCCGGTTCTAAGGAAATAATTACTTCTCTGCTAATATAACTTCCAAATCAGTGTAATAAGTTCTTTTAAGTATAAATTATCTTAATTCCAGACAGGAAAAAAAAAATTCTGTTTCTTAAATGATGCTTAGCTTAACTCCACTAGAGGGGACACCCTAAAGGAAACCTAAGTCTGGGTGGTGGCCATGAGTTGGTCCCTATTCACACTCACCATCAGTTAAACCAGGACCCCCACCCCCACCAGGTCTTCTCACAGGACTCCAGGTCTTTTCACAACTTGACCACACAAAAGAACAGTCAGGCTCCTCCTGCCTTTCCCAAGGCAAATACAGTAATGCCTGTCTCAGCAGCCCTTTCATAAGACTGTATATAGACAAACACAGGTGTCGACATAACAATCTTTTTGAACTTTGCATTGAATATGCCAAAGAACAACAGTGATCTCAAGGCTCCATCCATTGTCTCCATCAGGAAAGCTATGGAGAGACCACACAAGAGGAGGAAAAACCCAACAAACACATATATGTTTATTAAACACTTCAACAGCAAAACAAAATACTTGGAGAGAAAATATTATTTTTTAAACCACAAGATACAGACAGTAATAAGAGGTTAACCAACCTTAATTAGGTTTTCTTCATTAGTTGACAATGTGAATGGACTGAAACTACTACTCAAATATTCAAACCTTCATTTTACATCCAAGTGGCTTCCAAATGATAAAGCGATATTCTTATGTGAGTGTGAAAGATGGCACTCAATTCCAGCCCATTATAAAGGAGGAGTCAGATCCCACTAGTCTGCTGGGTTTAACTGCCAGGCTATATTATAAAGCTATTTTATAAAAGAGGATCTTGCCTTAATAAATTAATAGTGGAGAGTGTAAATGTCTGAAATAGCCTTCACTCTATGAAGCCCTAGACCACTTGGTGTTCAGACTCTACAAAATGACTCCATAGAAATCTTATGTTGTGACAATGATTTCATCTAAAAAGAATTATGATGATGATGTTGATGATAACTGAGCTGAAACCACCAGCGCTGCCGGCCTGCGCGTGTAAATTGCCAGCCAAAGGTGGTTAACTTCCAGCCAGTTCTCTCCCTGTTGGAGGTGCGGCTGGCAGCCCCAGGAAGCCACTCGGTATCTAGCTCCCTGTAGGTTTGACGGGACTGGGGTTGAAACTGCGACCGGCTGGTAGGAAGCCCTGGGCGGCTCAGCCAGGGCTCCAGCTGTCCCTCGCCACCTTCCTCAAACGCAGACACCAAGTTAGCAACGCAACTCCACGAGCACAATGACAAGAAGGCACACAAAAGGAGCAAGGCAGCCGCTCCCATCCTTACCTTTGACTTGACTTTCATACTCGGCTATGATCTCTTTGTCCTTTTTGAATCTGCTGGGGGTGGACATTATCCAGCTGTTCCGGGTTTGCTTTCAATGAACAAGTTCTTTTCAGTGGTCACAAGCGGTCTCCTTGGAGAGGCAGAGTTGTACTCCCACACGCCGGGAACCCAGAGGCAGCACCGGCAGGAGGGAAAGGAGGAGGAAGAGAAAGAGGAGGAGGAGGAAGAGGAGAAGGAGGAGGAAAAAGGAGCGAACAGAGAACTAGATTAACCCGGGCGCGGGCACCATGCTCTCGGGATTGAGCCGCCGTCTATGATCCCTAAAGGAACCCGAGGCCGTAGAGGCCAGCCGCGCAAACTCCAGCTAGCGAGTGGCGGGGGGCGTCTCCCTGCCCACCCCACCCGGAGCCCGGCCACTTCCTCTACGACCGCTGGGCGGACGCGGGGCTCGCGCCGACGCTCCGCACCATTGTTAGAAACCTACACCCGGGGCCCGGGAGAGGGCCAGCTGTGGAAGACGGGCGCCTGGAGAATGCGCTCAGATCGGAGCCACGACCCTCCCTTCCTGCCTGCAGCCGCCGGCTCCCGGGCTCAATGGTCCCACCCGGGCTGGGGATGCTGCTGCCGCGGCTGCCGCTTCTTCGCCTGCAAATACAGTTGCTATCGCCGGGGCAGGCAAAAGGAATCGAAGTCCTAAAGCGAGTCACCGCTGCTGGACTTGGAGGGTGCCTGCTGCGACCTTCGAACGCGCTCTGGGCACAGCCCCGGCGGAGTTTAGCTCTCGTGAGCCGGCGCAGCGAGGGTCCTCTGCCTCCTTGGTCACCGGGCGCCAAGGCTACCTCTTTCTCCTGGTCCCCCTTTCCGCTGCTGCCCCCAGGAGGCCGCCGGTGACATGCACACTCGCACACGCACCCAGGAGAGCCGCGCCCCCGGCGGCCGCAAAGTTGTCGCCGCGCGTACGGCCCGCGGCTTAGAGGCTCCCAGCGAGCCAAGTGCGGGCGGCGGCCGCCCGTGTGGCAGTTCTGGGCTCTGCGAGGCGGGGCTAGATTCGCGGGAGGGGACAAAGCTCTAGCCGATGCCCTTCTCCGCCCTCGTCCCTGTTCCCACTAGCTGAGGAAACGCCGGGCTCGTCCCGGAAGATGGATGCCTCTTGTGGCCAACCGCAACCCAGCCCCGCGCGTCAAGCCCGGGCAGCCGTGGGCGGCGCCCTCTGCGTCTGCCTCTGCTGGGGCTCCGCTCCGCTCGCTGCCGCGATCGCTGCTCCAGCAGCTGGAAAGCCCCTTCCTGACCAGGGAGATATCTTCGGCCGAGGGTGGGGACGTTTGTGAGGCTCTTTTCAGAACACATTGGGGAAGTGCAGAGCTGGATGTCTCTGTAACAGAAAGAGATGTGACTCCAAGATGTTGAACCCCAGTACGAAAACTGAACACTGTCTTGTGAATGACCTAGCTGTTAAAAATCAGAGGGAGAAGCTCTTCAGTGGAGGAGGACAGAAACACCCATCTTGAACACTCTTATCTTCTGCATCCTGGAAGTAGCTGGAGATTCTAGGATGGTGGGAAAGGCATGGTATAGGAAGAAGTCACTCAGAGGATGTCGCTGGCTCCCCCTCTCCACCCTTCCCAGACACGTTTACCACTTGGCACCTTTTGTGGCTCCTTTCAAATCCCTTCTCAAATACTGTGGCTCTGATTTATATAAGTGATGTGTCCAAAGGCGTGTCCATGACAAAATGTTTTCCCTCTGAGATATAAAGAGAGACTTTTAGACTTTGATCATTCATTCATGTATTAGGCGATAAACTTTCGTGTTCTTACAGCCAGCTGAACACCTAAGAACTAGGGATTCAGAGATTGGGAACCTGCCCCAAACAGTCTACTCTTGATAAATAATTACAAGCAATACAATAATTCTTTCTGTAGGAGACAAAATACTCTCTCTTGTAAGAACATGGGCTTGGGAGCCCTGAGGAGGGAAAAAGGGATTGCATGAGAAGGTTTGGGGAGTAGAGTTCACAGAGCCGTGGTACTTGAGCAGGGTTTAAATGGCCTTTTGTTCTTTGAGGTGTATGGTGGAAGCAAATGTATGGCCACATGCGTGCTAGGCAAGCATTCTACCACTGAGTCACACTCTAAACCAAGGAATCTAAAGGACAATCAGTTAGAAGTTGGCTTTCCTAAGCAAGAGAAAGGAATGCATTTTAGGGGGAAGGAGCATTGTACTCTGGGGACCTACAAATAGGGTTACAAGATATTTTCACCCAAATACCAGGTCAGATAGAAAGTGGAAAATAACTTAAAATTTAAAGTGTGGATATTGTTTTTAATTGCACAGGTTTTTTTTCTTTTTTAAATTTATTTCTTTTTTAAGGTTTTTTAATTTTATTTTTTAGCAAGTATTTTAACTTTATTACAAGAGAATAGAATGTAGAGGAAAGCTCCAAACCAAAATTTTAAAGTTTTTTTTTTTTTAATTTATCTATTGCTGCACAGGAGGTTTTATTGTGGCATCCCAGGCTGCCCTAATTGCTTGTGGATCTGTCTTATGTAAGAGTATACAATGAAGAGCCAGGACGTCCAAAGCAGAGGTTAGAAAGGAAAGTCAGGACCAGCTGGGGGAGGCTGTGTGTGTCATAATGAGCTCTTGGACATAGTTCTGTAGACAATAGAGAGCCTTTTAAGTAGAGAAGTGTCATGATCAGGTTTGTGTTGCATAAAGATAACTGTTGGCAGCATGGAAGGATGGGTTAGCCATGAGGAGAGACCACCAGAGGGGGGCAGCCCACTCAAGTGATAATTGTAGTCAAACTTAAATGGGATTCATATATGATTCATGGCATTAATGGGATTTAGTTCATGTATATATCTGGGAAATACAATGTGGAGGCAGAGATTGCAAACCCTAGAACTGAATCATTGGCTGAGTCTAGACCTGAATTAGTGTGGTCCAAAAAGGCCCAGAGACAGGGTATACAGAGGTGAAACCTACCTAGCTCCACGGCTTCCTAAGTGGTGAAAATACTGCACCTCCCTAGGCCTCAGTTTCTTAAATGTAAAATGGTTTAGTTCCTATCGCCTGGGGATGTGGTACTTACTTTCTGAGATAATCCTTTAAAAGTGCTTACAAATTGGGCATCATAGTATCATAGTTCAGGCCTGTCACCCCAACTACTTGGGAAAATTGTTTCAGCACAGGTGTTTGAGGCCAGCCTGAGCAATAAAGAGAGATGCCCATTTCAACAACAACAACAACAAACCATTGTGCTCATAAGCTGTTTCACACATTAAAATTTATTTTGGTTCTTTTAATTGCTATAATCTCATTTTTAATTGTGTCTAGTAAAAAGGTATTTTAAAAATCAGAGACAATATCTTAATTATCTATGATTTTATCATCATGGCCAATAAGCAGTCAATAAAATGTGTTGAATATTAATGCCTTAATATTAATAAGCACTTTATTCTTGTTGAAAATTGGCATTACCGTTTAAGGTTAGTGTTTTGTGGGCATTCTCACAAGAACCCTATAAGGTAGATAGGACTGTCCTCATTTTACAGAAGAAGGTCTGGAGGCTTAGAATGTTCAGTGAATGTCTTAAGGCCTACCAAGGCCAGAATTCCAGTGCACATCTGCCTGCATCCAAACTGGATGCTCTTTCCAATTTTTCATTCTGCTTCCCACTGGACTTATGATTTTATGTGAACTTGTGAAGAAGTTTTACATATAATAAAAATAAGTGTGACAACTAATTATTTTTGTGCGTGTGTGTGTGTATCTTTTTTTTTTTCTGATCCAGCTAGTGTAATTAACAAGTCAATTATTCTTTCATAATTTCCTATTTTCAAGTTCTCCTTATCTTCCTCATATTTAAGAGACCAACAAAGTTGCATGTGAAGAATGCTTGTGAGTTAAAATCCAGAAAACCAGGGTGACCCAAGTTCAGGAGACAGTCAACCAGGATTGTGGTTCTCACACCAGTACTCTGTGACTTTGCTCCACCTTGTGGCAGCTATTTTCTCTCTCTCTCTCTCTCTCTCTCTCTCTCTCTCTCTCTCTCTCTGATATTTTCAGTTGTAGATGGACACAGTACCTTTACTGTACTTGTTTTTATGTGGAGCTGAGGATTGAACCCAGTGCCTCACACATGCTAGGCAAGTGCTATACTACGGAGCTACCACCACAGCCTGTAGCAGCTATTCTCTTCACTATAAAAAGGACTGATTTCGATTTGCCCCCCATCAAGCCTACCTCTGCCACCTATACTCTCATTCTTTAGGTGCATGTGTGAAAAATGTACCAGGTTCCCTGCAGTCACAAAATAGATCATGTGCCTTACATCACCTGGGCCCAGTGGTAACTATTTAATTATTTCTTTTCTTTTCTTTTTTTTCCTGGCACTAGGGATTGAACTCAAGGATAATCTGCCACTGAGCTACATCCCCAGCCCTTTTTATTTTTGAGACAGGTTCTTGCCAAATAGCCAAGCTGGCCTGAAACTTGCAATTCTCTTGTCTCAGCCTCCCAAGTAGCTAGGATCACAAGAGTGTGTCACTGTTTCCTGGCTATATTTAAATCATTTTTTAAAAAATTAAACATAAAGAGCAGGGCATGGTGGCACATGCCTGTAATCCCTGTGGCTCAGGAGGCTAAGGCAGGAGGATTGCGAGTTCAAAGCCAGCTTCAGCAAAAGCGAGGCACTAAGCAATTCAGTGAGACTCTATCTCTAAATAAAATACAAAAACGGGCTGGGGATGTGGCTTAGTGGTCGAGTGCCCCTGAGTTCAATCCCCAGTAACCTCTCCGCCGCGCCAAAAATAATATAAACACAATTATATCAAGCCACATTCACACAGGCTTTAGCTATATTTTGGCTTCTAATAGTTTTATGTCTGAAGTGGACAATCTGATACTTCCCTTAGTTTAAAGGATACATTCTCCTCTACATGAGGGAATAAAAAGTAGTGAAGCCCTGCCAAATCCTATGTTTATTTCTTGGATTCAGCTAGAGCATCAGAAAACATACTGCTCCACCCACCCATTGCATGTGGTCTGGACTCTGCAATCACTTGATTCCCAACTACTTGCAGTAATGCTGTCTGTGGATTGCATTTTAGTATCAAATCCTGGGACAATGTTTTATAGAGTGTGATCTTATCATTGATCACCTACATCAAAATCACTT